GGGGGGAGAAAAGTTAAACGGCTGGAAAAACACCGATCGGGATTTCTTAGACATCGTCACCATCTATTGGACATTGTTGGGAATATCAGCTCCTTTTTATTTCAGGAAAAAAAACCCTTTTTCTGATGTGCTAGTAAGCCCTGGGTAGCAAAGCGGCTTGTCCTTGTTTGGAAAACAGAAATAACGTGTCGGTAAACCCAGGCCATCGCGCTGCCTCTGCAGGTGGCTGATCCCGTTTAGATCCTTTCTTTTCTCCACGTCAGCTCCTGAGACTGTCAAAACCGAACCGGCCCTGTCGGATGTTTGAAGAAGCTCCTGACCAAGTTCCCTTCGTGTTTAGAAACGTCGCTTTAAATTGCAATTTTATTTTTTTTTTTCTTTTCCCTAATGCAAATCTGGGGTGAGGCTTCAGGCTGTACGAAACCTGGATCATCAAATTCACATGGTCTTAGGAATTATTTTTCTCTTAAATAGTCTGAGCTAACCACACACGAATTGAAATAATAAATCTTGGTAAATTATTACCTCCTGCATCCGTTGTTTCCTAAAGCTCTACAGACCGCGCTCAGAACGGGTCCCTACAGCACAGCCTTACTCCTGGCAAACCCACCCCAGATTTTACAATAAGAGCAAACGAAAACACACGGCGAGAGCTGAACTTTCGCCCCACGTCGGCGAAGGATTGAATTTGCTCTTGTTGACTTACGTCAGTCGCATCCACCGGTACCTAAATAACCCCAGGGGAGCAGCTGCCCTCAGCCCTCCCCGGTGCTGAATGAAAGGGATGAAGCTGCCCGCACAGTGCCCCGGTTCCCGGCTCAGCATGGTGGGTTCCTCCTGGTCACCTCCATGGGGAAGGAATCCACCCTTCGCTAGGAAACACTGAGTGCTTGGTGGATAAAACCGGGGTTGTTCCCTACGAGGTTTTAATTTTTTTTAAGCAGGCAAAAAGGCGACTTTTGTGCTTCCCTGGAAGGCGCTGCAGGCGGCGCAGCCCCCGCTCGTCTTTGGCAGCAAAGTATAGGGCGAGTTTCTGCTTGAAAAATAAAGGCAGATACCTCAAAATGAAAAAGAAACCTTTTTTTGTTTGTTTGTTTTCATTCTAAACATCAGCATAAACCAAAACCAGGTTTTGGCTGGATTTCTCATCACGTGCAGTCTGCACTGAGGGCTGAATGCTTCCGAGAAGAGCCACTCCACGGGAAAAAAAAAAAGGGAGGTTTTGGAATACAGATTTCGCATGCTACGCAGAGATATTGCAATAAATCACCTTTTGGGATCCTTCTAGGATGTATGAAAGTATTAAAGGCAACATTTTTGAGACGATGTTGTTCAAATAACACCTTCTAGTGTCACTAATGTTAAACCCCCATTGGCTACACCTTGACCACGGTGGTGGAGGATCTCGGGAGCCCTCTGGCTCAGCAGGGGCTGAGCCTCGCTTGGTCTGGCAGCTCCCTGGAGGTTAAAATGTTATTCCCTGCCTTCTTTTACCCCCAGCTCTGTGAAGGGCAAAGCTCTGGAAGCACGGTGAGACGTTGCATGGGAGAAGACACGGCGTACCTTTCCAGCCAGAGCCGGGAGCAGCTGTGAGTACAAAACGGCTTCGACTGGACCCGAGAGCGAAGCGGAAGAAATCCCCGCTGTGAAAATCCTTCTTCATCCCACGGCAGGATCCCCAGGACTTGGGGCAGATTGTTCCCACCCTGTTCTGCTTCAGGGTGGCAGAGACGGTCACCCTGAGAAACCAGAGGGATACTGGAGGCGGGAGCAGAGGGTGCTTTTGCTTCAAATTTTAAATGATCCTACTAACGAGGCTTTTCCGTGTTCACTAGATCATTTGGGCTATAAGACGCTTAAAACACAAGCTAGGCAAAGAGTGTATTTTAGCTCTATAGATCTGGCACCTTCCCCTTGTTCCTACCCTGAGGTTTTGGGGATAACATCCCCCGTGAGAGCAAGCTAACAGCCACCCACCCAGGAGGACGCCCTGCAAGGCTTTGTTCGGCTCTGGGGTCTCGGCAGCAGCTGGGCTGGCTCCCGTCTC